CCTAAAAAATACACAGGAAAATAGCTAATATTGGGAGATATCTGCAAAGAACTGAATCCAAGCTGACACCATTCCTTCCAAATACTCTGCTCTCAACAGCTCAGTCAAGGAACTTCCAAAACATAAGAGCAAATCTTATCTGTGAACAGAAGCTCCACACACTTTCTTCTGTTTACTAGTAATTTCTGGCAAGCTAGGTCCAGAAACCCGTGGGAATTGATAAGAAACGTAGAGATTACAGGAAAGGCATACGTCCCTACTATTGCTTAGGGCACAGTGCAACTGGATCTGGATTTTCCCAATTTCTGGATGCTTTAGTAGAAATAAAAATTCTCTGGGGAGATTCTAGTTACACCTTCCTTTAGGGTTTTATACTCATCAGTGAGCAAAGTGTGGCACGGAATGTCCCGAAGAAGATCCTGCAGGTAGAATCAGCCGCTCTGACACAGCCGCTGGATTCCACTATGCTCTGACGCTGAATCTCCTTTTTCGAGCAAAGACACCCAGGCTTTTTTTTTCAAACCACTGCCCAGAGAAAGAGGCAGGCGGCCAAACCACAGCGGTTACACTCTACTCAATGGAATCCAGTTTGCCCCTTCTGTTTCCTGGGCTCCTCTGTTCCTTCTCTCTCGCTGTCTCAGAGGCGTACGCTCTCTTTATAGACACAATTTCTTTTGGTTTCTAGGCTGTTAAGTTTTTTTAAGGATACGATTTTGAGAAGCAACTTAACTGTGTACCAGGCTCAGGCCTGATTATCTCAAATCAACAGGAGAAGGGGAGGTAGTGAAGAAAAGCAGGAGAGATTATCTGCTCCGGGGACAGTGTGGGAGGCTTCACATGGGACTGGCAGATAGCAAAAACACCCTCTGGAAAAAAAAACCACCAACAACCCACCCAGAAAACAACCAACCTCCTGTTCTTATGCTAGGTCTACACACTGACATCTTGTGGTAAGAAAAGTCAAGGCTGTGAGGCTGTGGCAGTGGAGAGGATGTGGGCCTAAACCCGAGTAGTTTTGCTCCTAGAAGGGAGCAAGGCAAGTGTTTGGAGCTACTGCCATGTGCAGCACGTTCTCCAAAACCTCCTGACTCCCACTCCCATCTCGGTAAGAGCCAGCGAAGGTGACTGAACCGAGCTCTTTCTCACTAGGGAGCTTCCCTCCTCCCAGCACTGGCTGCTGAGAGGAACAAGTGGGTTTTCCTCTGCCCCACAAACTCGGATTACAGCAGGTCTGGTGGCATTCCTTCTGCTCCCGGAGCTGACCAGTTCCATCTGCCCGCTGCAAACCCGGGGTCCTGCTTCTTTACAGATGTTAAACCAGGGCATTTCAAGGCTTTAATGATTTGTGGAGCTTGACAATTCTTCTAGTGGAACTCAGGCTCCAGAGCAGGTTTGGGTTTACACTGGGAACCGCAGGCTTCATGTTGTAACTGCTTTCCGTGGGAACCTCAGCAGTGGTCCGCAGAGCCCTGGGGGCTGGGCAGACCAGAGGCTGATCAGGCTGTAGCTGAGCTACACCCACATTCCTGCCGCTGTATCTGTATGTGCAAAACCAGCTCACACCAGTTGAGAAAGCTTTCTGGCTCCGGCCTCTGTTTGTTCAGCACACAGTGCAATGAAGCACACCAGTTAACTTGAGAGCGATAACGCCGAGGAGAGCTCCTCCACAGAGACTGCTGGTATTTCCTTATTTACAAATTGATAACGTTTTCTAGAAAGAGCAGAACAGAACACCAACATGCATTTTGCTATCAAGCCCGGCTTCCGTCTCCCTCCTTACTGCAAACACCAAAGACCAGAAAAACGTGGTTTTAAATGACTTACGATTTGTAGAATAGGCTGTAGGGCGGGTTTGTGGCCATCAGTTGAGTTATAACCGACACTATGATTATTATGAAAACTGGCATCAACTGAATAAATGCAGAATATGAATTCTGAAAGGAACAACAACAATTAGTAGTCAAGAAAAGAGACAGGTGGAAAAGGATGCATCTGTTCCCAGAAACCAGGCTATCTACTGTAGATCAACAGCGTATTACATGTAAACTGAAAAGAAAAAAGAGGAAGCACTTCTGAACTTTGAGAGCGACGACATTTTAATGTCAAAATGACCTTTATTAATAATCTTAGAAAACTCTTCAAAGCCATTTTCTTTCAATTATATTTTTATGACACTTCTTTCACCTCCGGCTTCCTTCCCCAGGCGACGGCTGCCCACAGCACTGTACCTGTCAGCGACCAGCTGACAATCCAGGAATGAACACACTGCAATTCCCACCCGTGCCTGCGGCTTTCCGTGCACCTCCCGAGGTTTGCTACAGGCGTTCTACCAATCTGGGTCCCTGTTCAGACACTGGGTAAAAGGGTTAAGAGACCAGAGCGTAACCTGGGACGGGATGCAGGCACTTGGTTTTTGTTTGAATGAATTTAGTAGAACAAAAGGGTGGAAAAAATATCCAAGAGAAAACACAGATCTTTACTTCTGCTCTTCGTTTTATTTCTAAACTGGCCCCTAAAATGCCTTTTCTAATCAGGAGCAAAATAGAATACCCAGCTATTTAGGCTCTGCCCTTGGCCCTGGGATAGCAACAAGGATACCCGATGCAGTAGCGAGGGGGATTCGTGTGCCCTAGCTTAGCTGCCCACGGGCTGCATCGGGGGTTTTTTCAGAGCCTGACTGTAAGAGACTCACAGGGAAAAAAAAATCACCTTTCTTGGAGAACGGCCTCGTTAGGTTAACAGACTGCCCCCGGAGGAAGGTTTTTCCAAGGCAGGAGGCGTGTCTGTGCGTGTCTGTGCGTGTCTGTGCGTGTCTGTGTGTGTGAGGAACAAAGGACACCTCGTGTCTCTCATCGGGAGGTTTCGGTAGAAATGTGTCCCAGACCCACCTTGCTCCGGGCGGGAAGAGGCCGGGGCAGCACCTGGGCAGAAGCCTGTGCTAATTTACAGAAGGATTAAAACCCCCACGAGCACAGGCCAGTACTTCCCCATCCATTACCAGTCCAAACGGGGACTAATGGGTATCGGGTTATCAAATCATTAGCGCCTGTGAAAAACAAGCAGCGGACAAGCACTCGGTGACAGAAACTCCAGGGCTGTAACCCCATCAACACAACGTATTTTCAAAAATAGCAATGAATAAAAGACAATCTAGTTACTTCTGAAAACGTCCATTTTGGCTGCAGCACTTGAGGACAAGCACCGAGCATTTAAGGAAGGGGAAGTCTGTCCTGGCTTCAGATGTGCGAGTGGATCCCTCCCCTGGGGCAATGTTTAAGCCCAAGAGATTCCCTCCTCCCGGCTACCTGTGGCCTGTTTTCCTCCTCCTCTTGCTCCTGCGTCCACGCTCTTTCGTTTCGGTGCCTCCGTGGATAATAGTGCGCGTCCCTGGCTACGTTTGAGAACATGTGGATATTTCCTGCCACAAGAAACCAAGAGAGGGTCATGACTTTCATCCAGTTGCTGGCACTCACCTGTATGTCTCAGAGTTTCGAGTTGATCATCCAGGCTTATACTACGTGGCCTGAATTACAGCTGTGAAACCTCAGATTAAAAAGCACCAACACGCCTCAGATTTAAATGTTTAAATAATAGGTCGTTCCAAAAAATGTATCAGAGAAATTGTAAAGTTTGCCCCAAGTCCATCTTAATTGAAACATGCTACAATTTTGATTACTGTACCTCATATGTTAACATTGTTGTTGTCACGTTCACTTGCAAGGCCGTGTCGCATCCTTAGGCTCTAACCAGGAAAATTAATTTGCTTCATCGGACTCAGGCCAGGAATTATGGCTTCCCATAATTACTGAATATGGTCTTCTACACTCAGTTCTAATTCCTCTTCCTTCAAGCTATTCATAGTTTCACTCAATGATTTTATAGTAAGAGATTTAAAAAATAAGTTAAAAAAAAAGTACAATTCAGGATTTCCTTTCTTGCACACTGAATGTAGTTGATTTACTTTTAAAAATTCTAAAACGAGGAAAGAATTGCATATGCTGTTTTGATGTGGAGCTTCAACTCCCATTTTATCACCAGACGAGTATCTTACCACAGCACTGCTCTCCTCTGAAATTCAGGATGTCTTTGTACTGGAAACCTGAAATTTATGGCCTTATCACGCCAACAGAAACGCAAACCTATTTTTAAGCCCCAGGAAAGACGCCACATTATTTTATGCTCTGTACAGTATAACTGTCCTTTCTCTGACTTTCCCACAGAATTCTGCAAGAAACCTGGGCAAAGTAACCTTTGCTTTTGGGTCAAAGCATCTGTTTCATTGCTTGTTCAAAGGTTCTTCCAACGGTCTCGGCATGTTTGCAGTGAGAGCTCCGACACAGAGCCAAACAAGGCTGCCCTGAAGAAGGAAAGTTTCTTTCTTGAAAAAGAAAGTTTGTTTCTACCATTCAACACTGCTCAGACAATATTTTATCAAGCTGTGGAAACACAGAAGCAAGCGTGGGAAGAGAAGAACGGCTTTTGCAGGGCGCCTAGAAAAGTTTTCCCAAATCCTAAGCTTCTCAAAGAATTTCTGCCAGCAGTTTCTTTCCTTTCATGTGAATCCATTGTTTATGGGAAGGAAGTTCAACCTGTAACCTCTACCCATTATAACCGCAACACTCTGCCACGTGGAGAGCCTCCTTTTACACTTACGCCACGTAACATTTTAACTTTTCATATTTTCCCACTGAATTTCCAGAGAGGAAAAATGCACCGTAAAAACAAAGCCAGAAACCTGCTCACAAAAGCTGAACAAGTGAGTTTCCCCTAACGCCACCATTTCTTGCTCTGGTTTCCAGAAAGCCTGGTGACAGCAAGGTGTCACAGAACGGACCCCCGACGCAACGCTGCAGCTCAGCACAACGTCAGCTCACGCACCCAAGTCCTACTCACCGTTACGGCAGTTCAAAGATGTTCTCTTTCCATCCGCTACCCGCACACGCTCTTACGAGCGGTTCCCTTGCTCAGCAGAAAGCGGGTCGACTTTGCCTACTTGCCAAACACCTGAACGGATCATTTCCCATAATTTAAAACTCACTTTGAGGTCAGGAAAACGGACATAAATTCAGATTCAAACACCTTTTTTTTTCGTGAAGAAACTATTCTTTATTACCAACACCTATTACTATGAAATGATCGTTTTATTTTCTTACTCTTTGCCACTTTGATAAAAACTCCCATTTGCTCCTTCATGCCTCTCCACCTCTTAAACCTGCCACGCCCAGTACCCAGATTCCTCCGGCAGCTCCTCAATTCCTTGTCCTCAACTCCAGGCACCCCTGTCACCCGCAGCTACGCAGCGGTCGCGTTCCACGAGGGCAAAGCCTGCCTGGTGGCCGAGGCAAAAGCCATGCGCAGGTGCCATTTGTTGCAAAGTCAGAAAAGGAAAACTCGCAAACTCAGCGGGGAATTGTGCCGCGCTGCGAGATGCTGCCGCGCAGACTGAGCTGAGGGGGAGCTTGTAAGGAATTCCCTGTATCCGTGGCGTCAGGCTGCAGTGACTGGTGTGTACGTTGCTTTATAGCACGCCGTGGAGGCGAGAACATTCACAAGAGTGCTACAGCAACCCGCTAGATACCGCCAGGAGGACCCTGGAGCTCACCCCTACCTTTCAGAGTCACTTTTAATCCCAACCTGTATCCCACCAATTTTGCAGCATCGTTCTGTTTTGACTACAAACACAAAAGCCAAAGCTGGCCCAAAAACATGCATGGAGCTGCGACAGGTACGGGTCCACTGCTCCGCCACCGGATACTGCACACCCCCCTAACACCCAGCATTTCCTGGCAGGCATCGCTTTCTAACGGGAGAAGTTTTCATTTCTTCATAGAAAGCAAGCTGCTGCAAGCCAAATGAACTCCTATGTTTTCCCAGTTACAGGGGCCACACCGCCAGGAGCTGCTGCCATGCTGTACTGGAGCGCAGTTAAGGCGTCTCAAGAACACCACCACCAGCAAAGACACCTCTGATCCCTTCCCACTCACACCGTATTTTACCTCCCCACCACTGCTGCCTTCAGACACTGGAGGGAATAAAAGCACAAACTAAAAGACGGGTCTTCAGCTACAGCTGGTATTAAGATGTTGCCTACCCGAGAATCAAACAGCCTAACCCCTGGCCAGACTAAAATGTTCTGACCCCTAACTAGTACTGTTGGGCATTTTCAAGAGAGGCTGGGAGGTCAGGAACTTGCCCCAGCAGCAACAGCCATTACCCCACTGGCAGCTCTCTCTCCTGGGAGCGTTCCTGGACAGCAAGGCTTTGACAACATGTTTTGGGGAATGAGGTTGCTAAAATCTGAAGCTTAAACCGTGCATTAAGACAGCTTTTCCAGGCATAGAAAACTAGGAAGGGAGAAAAGACTAAATCCAAAGAAGTTCTTGCTCTTTTCAGATGTATAATCAACCCCCTGAGCAGTACCAAGAGAAGCTGAACATCCTTTATGGTCTAGTGGCAGTCCACTGCATTTCAAAACCACTGCAGACAGATACTGACCTGTAGGAAAGTGCCCACCAAAAAACACATTGAATATTTCTTCTGGTGTAATGTCTGCTTCAAATTCTGTGTAGTAATCATAGTGCCTGGCCTGGCCAGTGCTGACGTGCTCTTGGTCACTTCCGAATTCATCGTATCGTAATCGTTTTTCAGGGTTGCTCAGAACTGCAAAAGCATTGCCTATTGCTGGAGAGGGAATTGAGAGGGTGTTACACAAGCATACTGCCCAGTACTTCCAGAGCTCAGACTTTTACAAGCAGAGTGGCAAAGAAGGCATAGAAGATTTGTGCTTGACCAGAGACTGAGTTACTTTTGAAAGAACTGCCTCTATAAAAAAAACAAGTTACCACACTGGCATTACGTGTGATGGAACCTATTTCCTGCTACCACTGAGGCGAGGGGAAAGACAAAAATGTTCAAGTACACAGAGAGAGTTGAAATATTTGTAAAACTGAGTTCACTTCAGCCACGTAACATTTTATTGGATCAAACTAAGCACTCGTATAGAAGTGGCCCTCCATCTACAGTTAACACAAAGTTAACAACTGCAGAGACTAATTAAATTGCAGAACCATATTCCAAGTCTTTCTGTCAGCAGAGATGCTCGTGAAGCTGTACAGCCCGTCACGCTTTACGTCAAACCACCCAGAAGTATCTGTGTGGTTCACCTTCTTCCTTGGTCTTTGACAGAACCTGGCTGTGAACATGTTCATAGAGAAATAACAACCCTAACACACAAAAAAAATTAAGAAAAGTCCTTCAAAAACTCCTTATTCTGTTAAGACCATGAATGACAACCTTGCCTTCCTCGCGCTGCCTTACAGTGCTATTGCAGACAGCTGCAGCACAGCACAGAAAAGGCAAAAAATGTCAGAGTTTAGATGCCAACATTGTTGATACAGGTTTAGGTTGCCACATTATGGAAGAGTCCAGACACATGGGTATGGGACTCCAGTTTCATATGGTTGTACATATATATATATATACATATAAATTTATTTATGAGACAGAGCAGTTATTGATTACACAACACCACGCTCTCCTGCATGGCCGGTATTATTTCCAAGCACCGTTCTGAATCTCGAGCAGAGTTTCTAGGAACGGCACCCGGGACACGGTTCCCTTCGCTTCTGACGGAAAGCTGCATTTTGAAGACTAGAAGGCAAATCCCGCCGAGCAGCTGCAGCATTTTGGGGAGATGCCCACCTCTGCCCGTGACAAGCACAAGCTACCCGGGCCCGCACGCCGCCTTTACGCAAGGCGCAGCAGCCTGAGGCAGCCTGGCTTCGCCTCTGTCTCGCTTTAGGACTTTCCAAACCGGGCCAGCCCCCACCTCACCTTTAAAAGCTTCCGTTGCCCCGGGAGCGCGGTTTTTGTCCGGGTGGAATTTCAGGGCCAGTTTGCGGTAGGCTTTCTTCAGGTCCTCCTCGCTGGCATCCCTCTCCACCCCCAGAATCTCATAGTAGTTCCGACACCGCTTTATTCTGGAAGCGCACACCAGGTTAT